CTCTCTCATCTTTTTAAGTGGGAGAACTTGCACAACTGGTGGCTGACTAAATACTTTTTTGCCCCACTGTAGATGTTAAGAGGGGAGAGACCCAAACCCAGAGGAACCCCACTGCAGGGGCCTAGGGCTCGACCTCTTCCCACCCCCCGACCAGTGCTGACTGAAACCAGCTACGGAGAAAGGAGAAAGACTGCAAAACAGTGCCTCCCACTCCCATCCCAAAGTCAGTCCAGAAGGATACTGTGGTCAGTGGTATCGAAAGCCCCTGAGGTCCAGGATACTCTTGGTAGATCCCGTAACTTAATTTTTTGGTTTGTATGCATTAAAAAGAACCAAGGTTAATAGTAATTCAGCTCGCTCTTTTTTAAGTATTTAAATTTTAAGATGGATTAATTTAACTTTGGAGTCCTGGGTATGACAAAAAGATGCAGAGTTGATTTTTCTCTCTTGGGTTCTATTCATTTATAAATGACAAGGATTTTTGCAGAAAGAAGCATTGTACAATTTTTTTTAAATGACATTATTCTTGATTCCCTGGCCAGGTCCTTTCTCATCCTGAAAGTTGTCAGAAATAGGTGCTCTCAAGTTGAACTTTCAGCCTGTCTCACTTCTTGGGAAGATCTGCCAAAAGGTCTGGCAATGCAGCATCGGCGCTCCTTGATTTGGAAAAGGCCAAGGAGGAAAAGAACCAGTCCTATTTTGTTCAGGAAAAGCCCCATCCAGAGACCACCTGTCCAGAGATCAAAGGTGGACTGTTGCTGTGAGCCTGTGGAGAAAAGACAGTGGATCGTTTTGATTTATTTGTAACAAAGCTGGAAGATTCTCTGTTAGTATTGTAGCTTCCTTTCCTTATGGAAAAATGCTGCATTTTTAACTACATTGGCTTGCTCTAGGCTTTCATCATTTATGTACGCGTGGTCCTCGCTTAACGACCATTCATTTAGCAACCATTCAAAGTTATAACAGTGCTAAAAGTGATTTACGACTGGTGCCCAAAGTTACAACTGTTGCAGTGCCCCTGCTATCGTGATTGTGATCTGGGCACTTGGCAACCAGCTCGAACTTAGAACAGTTGCAGCGTCCTGGGGTCATGTGATCACCATTTGCAAGCTTCCTAGCTGGCTTCTGGCAAGCAAAATCAGTGGGGAACTGCGTGATTTGCTTAACAACAGTGATTCGCTTAACGACCGTTGCAAAAAAAGTCATAAAATTGGGTCCGGTCACACGATGATTCGCTTAGCAACCTAAATTCTGGTCCCAATTGTGGTTGTTAAGCGAGGTCTATCTGTAAAGCTTGCAGTGGTTCACTTCATTTTCCCTGTCATACATAACCGCTTTGATCTTAGATTACTTAACAGAGCCATAATCTCCATTGCATCATACAATATATCTAACATTTGCTCCAAATTGGGATTCTCTGAGAACAACACAGCATCATTTGCACTTCTGAGGAGCAAAAATCTGGAGTGCATACCCTTTGCCCACCATAAAGCTGTCCAGCACTTCAGTTTTGTGACCTCGTACAGTCTTTTGGTCAGAATTCTTCCAAACACCTGGAGCCTTACTGTTTTTTAACATTGTCCCAGCATTCATGACTGACTTGATCTTTTTTCTTGACCGCTATTACTAATAGAGCTTCCTTCCGAGGTTGGTGGCTCCCATAGTTGCTTCCTCTTTGTTTATTTTAAAATGTCAGAATCTAATTTATGAAGGCATGAAGCTTGGAAGCTAGTGTCCACCAGTGCATTTATGTTTAAGGAATCACTGCAGGGATCCAAGGTGTGCTTCCCCCCCCTTTTTTTTTTAATCTCAAGGAAATTTAGTGAATCAAACAACTGGAAAGCAAAACTCCAGCATCAGTGATCTGAATAAACTGATAGCAGAAGAGATTTTAAGTCACTGACTGCAGCCAGCACCACAAAAGGAATGTTCCTAAAGAATTTTTGAAGAAATAGAATCACCGAAACTCTGCCTCTGTTTTCCAAAAGGTTGCCTACCGGTGCCCCTACTCAGGTAAAGGGGGGAAAATGACCATTTAGAGAATAAGCAATGCAGTCAAAAGTTGTCCTCTCTCTTCCTCAGTGAAACCAGGGCCTTTAAAGTAAAGTAAAGCTGTCATGCCCACAGGGTACCGCTGATGGCACCTCTGTTGAAAGTTGGGCCTGGTCACAAAAAGAGAAAAAGATAATGCAATTTAACATTGGAGCCAAGAATGTTAGTGCAGGAGAATGGTTAGACTGGTGCTTCTCAACCTTGACAACTTGAAGATGCGTGGACTTCATCTTCCAGAATTCCCCAGCCAGTTTGGCTGGCTGGGGAATTCTGGGAGTTGAAGTCCACACTTCTTCAAGCTGCCAAGGCTGAGAGACACTGGGTTAGATTGTCCCTCAACTGTCAGAAACTGACTCATGCAGGAACTTCATGGTTTTCAAGACCAGAAGTGGTCTTCAAGAAATTTCACACCTCTCTCATTTTTATGATTCTGACACAAGTCCAAAATGGCTTTAGATACTTGGACAGTTGACACACTGGCATCTGCAGTGCAGCACATCAGCAGGACTTTGGATGAAGGAGAAAGGAAGAGAAAATACCATAGAAAACCCAAAATGTGTGAAAGATTGAGTCTGGGAAGGGGTTCTATATCGAATATGATGTTCTTTATTAAGGACCTGTACTTTAAAACATTAGCTTAAGTCAAGTTTAATAAGGAAATTTAAACAATCATATACTAAGGACTATTACTTTGTTTATAGAGCATTCTCCTTACACCAAAGAGATTAGTGTCTGGAATTGAAATCAAGTCTTGAAGTGTGGAGAATCTCATGATGCAAGTAGGAACTCTTCATTAGAGCAATGTGATGTAAGTCCATTACTTGCTGTGCATACGAGTCAACAACAGATAGAAAGGGTCAACCTGGACTGAGATGAGATGAGAAGGAAGAAAAATTCTGAAGGCCAAACTTACTTTCTTCAAGCTTTGTCCTGATGAACAGTGTTGCTGTTTTCTTGATTGCTGGACGCGAATTATGTTTGACTAGGCAAGTGAACAGTGAGGAGTTCCTATCTTCAGTGGCTATCACCTTCATGTGACCCTTAAGGGAGGACGTCCCATCTGAATTCAAGGTCATAGGGTCAACCTTTCCTTTTGTACTGGGATTCTTGGTAAAGAACTCAATTTTTGCATCCTCTGGATAAAATTTTTCTGCATTGCAAGTGACCATCACGGTGGTGTTCACCTGGACTGGGGAAGGTGGGCTGGTGTCAACGTGCACTCTGGGGGGAACTGAGCAAACAAAACCAAAGAGGTCAGTCAAAAGCTTTAGAGTCAAGGCTTCTGCACACAGAAGGGGCTGGAAGATCAACTGGGTCTGGCTTTGGATTGTAGCATCAATCCAAAGAGACTCATCTTTATAACGTGGGTCAAAGCCCATAGCCAAAAATGTCCTCAAGAACATATGACAAGCCAATAGTGGTATATTTTCAGTTTATCCTCCACCTGCCTTCATCATTAAAACCTACATATTTCCAGGCAGAATAACTGAAGCTTCCCCAATCAGACCTCCTCCAAACCTACATATTTGAAGGGTCCCCAAGTTGTCTGGGGAAGCTGAATGTGGCCACTTGCTTTCCAAGTTTGAATTTCAGGCCACATCCTGGAGGCATAATTCTGCTTTGATAAAGGAAGCTGCCCTGGTGGAATTTCTGCCTGCTCCAGAAACCTCTGGTTCTGGGAGGAGCAGTGGCCAATTTTTTAGTACCTGGCTTCTGGGTGCCAAATCTTTTTTGACCCTGTATTCCTTCAGGCATCAAGCATTCACATGCTAAAAGCAAGTTGTCTGGGGGTTGTATCCATTCTCTTTCTCCTCTCTCTCCCAAACAAGTTGAAAGGGACAGAGAGCTCCCATCTGATAGCCAAACTAATTTCAACTCATTAAAATGAGTCCGAGGGTTAGATGTGGCCCCAGGGCAGACGTTGATGACCTGTCTCCCTAGCTAAGCTACTCTGGAGGGGAGGATGCCCTCTCTGGCTGCTGGAGGGCCAAGGAGCTGTTTTCTCTCAGGTACAAAGCATTGCACTTTCAACTGAAGTTGATGTCATCTATGGAGTTCCACCAGCTTAAGAGCTTCTCAAACCCAGGCAGCCAAAGAAATTGTACAAATGGAAGGAAACATGGGTCTGCCCCCACTTCTTACTGATTCCTTGCCCCTGCCCCAGCTTCCTTTTGCCTTTGGTGAGATACCCAGGGAGACTGGACCAGCTTCATCTGGACACAGTAGCAGCACGTCAGCCAATGGTGTCTTGAATGTGCAAGATTTCCAACTGCATGGAGCAGGAAGGCTTTAACTGCGGCTCTTCCTGTCAAAATGGGATGGAGGGAGCCTTGTCTTTTTCCATCAGGACATAGCATTATTTTCTCCCAAAGCCATAAAAATATCAATTAAAAACTATCCAACCTGGTGGCAAGACAATTATTTCCCCTCAGATCTAGGATGACCAACTGGTGGCCTCAGCCCTTTATTTCTGCAGCTCTTGGAATCCTTGACCGGCTACATTCTTACAACATCCTTATCCTTTCCGGGTTCAGACAATACAGTGCACTGGAAACTGACGAAATGGGCCAGGTACACATATCTCATCAAAAACAAAGAAGCCAACAGACAGAAATAATTGAGGTTAAAAGTTATCAAGGTCAGCTTGTTGAGTGAATGCAACTGTTGGGTCTTCAACTGGCCAGATAAGTGTGTTCTGTGAACCCACCCATTGTGTTT